TCTAAGAGTCTCTCAACCCCCCCACCCCCACCTCACACACACACACACACACACACACACATACACATGTTTGTGTTGCTATCTTTGTGGGGACTTTCCATTGACTTCCATTCATTTCTACAGCCTAAACCTTACCTTTACCCTTTTCCTAACCCTATCCATCACATACCTAACCCTACCCCTAACCAAAACTCAATTCATACCTTAGTCCTAACTCTGACCCCTGACCCAAAAACAGGGTTTCCCCTTGTGGGGACCAGGCTCCAGTCCCCACGAGGAACGATTGGTCCCCACAACGTAGTATGTCAGGAAAATCGTCCCCACAAGGTATTACAAACAAACGCACACACACACACACACACAGACACACACACGCACTCACACACAGATAAATGAAGGTGATTCTTCAAACAATACACAATAGGATTCACATGGAAACACTTTTCTCTGTTCAATAAAGTTTGACAAAGACAAAAAGAAGCCAAAAAGAAAACATTTTTCAAATAAAAACTCATAAGAAGAATAAGAATTGCATGAGAATCTGAATCATTGCAACCTCTAGAGAGGAAGGAGGAAAGACTTGAAAGGTAAACCTTTCTAATTAAACATAATTGTCATGCCATGTTTATTAGAAATTTGCCTTTTTAACTTTTTATGAATACAAAGTAATGCAATCGCTCGGTACCTGGAAGGAAAAGGTCCAAGTAGCTGACAAGGGTCGTTTTGACTTTATCATGACACAGTTAAAGTGTGCCCCCTAGTGACAAGTCAGATTTCAGTCAATGTCATTTGTCAACTTCTGGAGTCACACATTTTTAAAATATTAAAATCTAAAAGTACAAAGCAGTGATTTAGGACATGCAGCAGCAACACTTTAGTATAAAACGGGATTCTCTTTGTTTTTTAAGATATCTGTGCATTTTATTTTACTAAAGTTAGACTCAATTTCATTTGTATTGCATATATAAAAATTATTGATGTAAACCAAAGTGCTTCATAACCAAACTACACAGCATAAAAAATATTTGTAAAAAAATAATTTTAATAAGGTATAATTGCATAGAGTAACTGAGAAAATGTTAAATAATAGTTATATAAAATATATAACATGTAACACATTTTTATCTGATTCTCTGAATTAAGCC